AATGTTGAATAAAAAGAGATGGATCTGCATTTGAAGCTTGAAAACCCAAGCTTGGTAAAAAGCTAGTAAACCTTTCATTCCAGGCACGAGGAGCCTGTTTTAAACCATACAAGGACTTCTTGAGTCTGCAAACAAAGTCAGAAGGATGATGCTTACTCTCAAAGCCTTGAGGTTGTGTCATATAAACCTCATCCTGAAGAACCCTATGCAAGAACGCATTTTTAACATCAAGCTGCCGTAAGGACCACTGAAACTGAGCAGCAAGAGCAAGAATTAATCGAATCGTGGTTGGTTTAACTACCGGACTGAAGGTCTCATAAAAATCAATACCCTCCTCTTGACTAAATCCCTTAGCAACCAAGCGAGCCTTATGCCTAGCTATAGAACCATCTGCATTCTTCTTGATCCTATAAACCCATTTACAACCAACAAGATTCTTATGAGCTGGGAGAGGAACCAAATCCCAAGTACCTTGAGCATGAAGAGCCTCAATTTCCTCCCTCATTGCAGATTGCCATTCTGGTGATTGAGAGGCAGCCTTGAAGGAACTTGGCTCAATTGTAGATAAATCAACAGATGAAGAAGCAGAAAAAGCCTTCCTCTTGGAGATGCCATTCTTAGACCGTGTTGTCATAGGTGCAGATTTACATGTGGCAAAGGCAAGATAACACGAAGACTTTCAGGCTGAAAATCAGGATCCACAGGGAGAGGAGATTGTGTAGTAGAAGGAAAAGCATTCAAAGGTTCAGCGGCTTCAGAGATGGGTGGGGAAGGTGAGGAAACAAAAAGAGAAGGGATAGGCGATAAGACAGTATTAGTGAATGAAATAGATGGAGGAGGAGAAGAGGAAGTGAGAGACTGAAATGAAGAAATACTGACTGGATGGACAGATATGAATGGACACACAGTTTCATCAAAAAGAACATGTCGAGTAACAAACAGTCTATTGGTAGTGAGAGAAAAACAAATATAGCCTTTATATTGTCCTGAATAGCCTAGAAAGACACAAGTAGAAGTTTTAGGCTGAAGTTTGTTTGTATTATAAGGCTTGAGCAAAGGAAAGCAAGCACAACCAAATACCCTTAGATGAGTAATGGCTGGAGCAGAACCAAACAATAAGAAATAAGGAGATTTGAAATGAAGAGTTTTACAAGGCATTCTATTGATCAAGTAGACTGAAGTAGCACAAGCATGAAACCAAAATTTTGGGGGTAAATGAGCAGTTTGCAACAAAGTGATAGCAGTCTCCAAGATGTGTCTGTGTTTTCTCTCAGCTAAGCCATTTTGTTCAGGTGTATAGGGACAAGATTTATGATGAATGATACCTCTAGCAAGAAGATAATGCTGAAATTTATGACTAAGATACTCACCACCTCCATCACTTTGAAAAACTTTAAGAGAAGCAGAGAACTAAGTGACTAAGTAAGCATGAAAATTTACAAAAATAGAGTAAACTTCTGCTTTATTGAACATTGGAAAGATCCAAGTAAATCGAGTACACTCATCTACAAAGCTAACATAATATTTGAACCCCTCAACAGATATTGTTGGAGAAGGACCCCACACATCACTATGAATCACTTCTAAAGGGTTTACAGATTTTGCTGCTGGATAATGAAAAGGAAGTTTAGCTAGTTTGCCTTCTAAACAATGATGACAGACAGATTGGACTTTGTCTGAAGAAAAAGGAACCTGTGATTGACGTAAAAGAGCAGTAGTAATAATATTGGAGGGATGACCAAATCGCTTGTGCCATAAACTGGTATGTACTGGATGTCCAAGAAAGCAGAAATGTTGTTTGATGAGAGAAGCAGCTGGAGTAGGATGAGGTTGTGAAGGAAAGAAAGGAATAGAATATAGGCCAGCTCTACACAGTCCCTTGAGAAGAACACTCCCCGTGAGTTTGTCCTAAATCCAAAAGCCAAAGGTATCACATATAAATCTGCAGTTATTATCTTTACATAACCGATGCACTGAAAGCAAATGCTGAGATATCTTTGGCACATGTAAAACTTTCGATAATTGTAAAGAACACTGAGGAGTAATCAAGGAAGAAGAGCCAACACTAGAAATATTCAAACCTGAACACCCTGCAGTGGTGATTGTCTCATTTCCAAATAACGGGGTAGCAAGACTAAGTTGAGACAAATCTGAAGTTGAGTAGCAGTCACCATGATGAGTATTTAGGGAGATAATATCTTAAGAAGAAAAGAAATAGGCAATAGAACAAGCAGAAGATTCTGTGAGGCAAAAGAACAAACACCTGGTAGGCAGAGCAAAAGACTACGAAAGTAGTGAGAAAGAAGAGAGAAAGAAACCCGAGAATTTTAACAAAGAAGAAGATAGGAGAAGATACAGACAGAAGAACAGAGATTGTAAGCAAAGAATAGGAATGCGGAAGCAAAGAAGCTTAGGATCGTACTATGGCTCTTGATACCATGTCAGAATAGCAATATTGAACAGAGATTTAACAGAGAGAAGCAGAAAAACTTAGGAGAAGAACTGATGTATTCATTCATTGATTAATTCAACACTGTACAGTAATGGTTTTTATACTAGCTTATCAAAGCTTTGTATATATGTTTCTAACCTCCTAACCTCTCTAACTTCTCTAACAGAACACTAACTCTTTTGCTAAAAACTGTTTAACAGTCTTAACAATATTTCAACAACTCTCTTCGTCAATCTTCTGACATGTGGCAGAGTGAGGACCGTTGATATCTTTACACTTACCACAGTAAATTGATATAATTATATTAAGTGACATGCAATCACACAACCAAATATCACATTAATAATAATAATGCATGAATGCTCTTCATCTACTCCCGTTAATTCATATAACTGGACAAGTGGACATGCACGTCTCATACCATGCTTATACCACTTGGTCTCGAATGCCAATTTATATGAACTAACACTCATTTCAATCATCTCATAATTCCCTTTTGTTAGTCATCTTGTCTACATCATTGATCTCCAAGCCCAAATCAACCAATCGATAATTATACCGCCGATTTCCTAGTCTACTGTGCACACGGGCTCGCCTAGACTTGGTCCCTACAATGGTCAGACTCAACTACATAAAAGACTATTTCCATTACCCTCTTTTCTACCATTATTTTCTCAACTCCATAAATCTAACCAAATTTCATGACATGATATAATTATCCCTACTACAAAATTGTGAAACCACGACACTAAATAGACGACGGTGAAGTTTAAAACCGTCGTCGTGTTTTAAAAGACGACGGTTTTGTAAAACCGTCGTAATATACCACTAAAATCAATTTGAGTTTTAAAACAGGACGCTTGTAAATTACAAACGTCGTCTTTTAAAACACGCTAGCTCCTTAAGAGAGTTCGCTCCAGACCTAAAAATTTTAGATTTCCCCCAAGCTCGAAAACATTCACTCTTGAACTCTCGTGGCGCCCTCTCAACTCTCAAATCTTCCTAATTTTCCTCATCTCTCTCCCTCCCTCAACTCTTGCCCACGACCAGACCTCCAAGAGAGACTCCTCCGTCAAAATCGATAGCCCAACTTCGTCGTCACATCTCTCTTCCCTCGGTAGTCTTTTGTTACTGGTACAAGACCTAGTGGTTTCGATTTGAAATCCTGAAACGACGGCGTTATATGAGCGGCTGAAGAGAAAAGTCACAGCACAAGGTAACAGTGGTTGTTTCAGACCTGGCGGCTGCCGCTGTAGTTCGACGCATCAAGCTTTTCAATCTGCCGTGCAATTCAAATGTCGTCGGCACTACGAAAGTAGTGAGAAAGAAGAGAGAAAGAAACCCAAGAATTTTAACAAAGAAGAAGAGAGGAGAAGATACAGACAGAAGAACAGAGATTGTAAGCAAAGAATAGGAATGCGGAAGCAAAGAAGCTTAGGATCGTACTATGGCTCTTGATACCATGTCAGAATAGCAATATTGAACAGAGATTTAACAGAGAGAAGCAGAAAAACTTAGGAGAAGAACTGATGTATTCATTCATTGATTAATTCAACACTGTACAGTAATGGTTTTTATACTAGCTTATCAAAGCTTTGTATATATGTTTCTAACCTCCTAACCTCTCTAACTTCTCTAACAGAACACTAACTCTTTTGCTAAAAACTGTTTAACAGTCTTAACAATATTTCAACAACTCTCTTCGTCAATCTTCTGACATGTGGCAGAGTGAGGACCGTTGATATCTTTACACTTACCACAGTAAATTGATATAATTATATTAAGTGACATGCAATCACACAACCAAATATCACATTAATAATAATAATGCATGAATGCTCTTCATCTACTCCCGTTAATTCATATAACTGGACAAGTGGACATGCACGTCTCATACCATGCTTATACCACTTGGTCTCGAATGCCAATTTATATGAACTAACACTCATTTCAATCATCTCATAATTCCCTTTTGTTAGTCATCTTGTCTACATCATTGATCTCCAAGCCCAAATCAACCAATCGATAATTATACCGCCGATTTCCTAGTCTACTGTGCACACGGGCTCGCCTAGACTTGGTCCCTACAATGGTCAGACTCAACTACATAAAAGACTATTTCCATTACCCTCTTTTCTACCATTATTTTCTCAACTCCATAAATCTAACCAAATTTCATGACATGATATAATTATCCCTACTACAAAATTGTGAAACCACGACACTAAATAGACGACGGTGAAGTTTAAAACCGTCGTCGTGTTTTAAAAGACGACGGTTTTGTAAAACCGTCGTAATATACCACTAAAATCAATTTGAGTTTTAAAACAGGACGCTTGTAAATTACAAACGTCGTCTTTTAAAACACGCTAGCTCCTTAAGAGAGTTCGCTCCAGACCTAAAAATTTTAGATTTCCCCCAAGCTCGAAAACATTCACTCTTGAACTCTCGTGGCGCCCTCTCAACTCTCAAATCTTCCTAATTTTCCTCATCTCTCTCCCTCCCTCAACTCTTGCCCACGACCAGACCTCCAAGAGAGACTCCTCCGTCAAAATCGATAGCCCAACTTCGTCGTCACATCTCTCTTCCCTCGGTAGTCTTTTGTTACTGGTACAAGACCTAGTGGTTTCGATTTGAAATCCTGAAACGACGGCGTTATATGAGCGGCTGAAGAGAAAAGTCACAGCACAAGGTAACAGTGGTTGTTTCAGACCTGGCGGCTGCCGCTGTAGTTCGACGCATCAAGCTTTTCAATCTGCCGTGCAATTCAAATGTCGTCGGCGTCGTAGTGGCAGTGGGAGACCGCCATCGTCGGCGCCGTCGCTGGGTTTGCCACCAACACCGCGTTGCATCCTCTGGACGTAAGTACGAGATTTCAATTCCACGATGGTCAAGTCTCCATCTTCCAACTTACAAGAACACGACTCATGCCATTTATGCAATTTCATTTGTTTTTTTTATAAATTCCGATTTCACTTCTAGGTCTAAGATTTATGTTGATTTACGAATTTTTGAAGTTTTCGTTTGTTTTCCTATTAATGACTTAGTTTTTCTGTGCAATAAAGTTTCACATTGGCTTGGATTTTTTTGAAGCGACTTGGGAATAGGTTGGTTGAAAATTAAATTCATTACTTCTATATGTTTTTCTGTTTCTGTGGATTTTGGGGCTTCAGGGATCTTACTTTTGGGTTTTTATTTCATCAATGTTGTTCTATTCCTTAGTTTTGAGATTATATACACAAATTTTCTTTGGTTTGACATTTGCTGTAAATAGGTGTTTGGGAATCGAGAGAGGAACTCTGAATTTGGGAAAGACAGTCAAAACAAATGAATAAGAACAAGACTGTAAATTTCGTCTTGTGTTATTCACAGTGCTTACTCTTGTAGCTCAGGTCTATGAGTGTAGGTATTTTGATTGTCATCGTTATACATTTCAGATTTAAGTAGTTGGTTTCTTGAAACTTTGTTTTTTTTTTTTTTTTTGTAACCTTTTAGATAGGTACGTTTTAAAGATCCATACCAAAGATATTATATGAGGCTTGCAGAACTGACTGTTCTTGCAGATAGAGACTGGCAGAATTGCAATATCCTTGAAATAAAATTTCGCCCCTACTAAGTACTTATAGTTTTGCAAGCATCTACTCCATCAAAATACAACTATCTAAATCAAAGTCTTAGTACTGGGGCTTTGATTTCTGGTGAAATCTGTGTGTTTATCCTTCAGGTTTATATAGGAATATGATATGAAGTTGTCTATGAATTTGATGCATATTTCTCTATAAGAGAACATATGTATTTGTAGGGTGCCTGTATCTCACAAAAGACACAACCCAATCAGATAATGTAACACCCTGACCCCAAATTTATCCCATGTTTAATTAATTTAAGTGGAATTGAGAAATTACCCGTGGGATAAGGGTATTTTGGTCATTTTCTTACCCGGAAGGAATTTGGGAATTCCGGTTGTACCGTTGCGTAGAGCACGGTGAGAGGAGTTCGTAGACACGTAGTGGGCTCGAATCGGAGTTGTAACGAGAGAGATATG